CGGTATGTTGTTTCAATTGACCGCTTTGTTTCCTTGTATTCACTGTTCACTCTAGGATGCGCCAGGACGAATTTCCTACACGGCGGATATTTGGTCAACAAAAGCTCGGTACCCATACCTGGCCATTACCGCACATTGGATACATAGAGACAAGTCTACCAAGGGTCTTCAGCTGCGTTCTACACTCATCGCATTTCACCGTCTTCGAGGAAGCCACAACGGGAAGAGGCTAGCAAGAATTGTCCTCCATCTCTTGGACCAAGTTGGGATTACAGTCAAAGCACGTCTAAGTTTCATTTTCTTTCCCTTTTCTACTTTATGCTTACGTGCACAGGGAGGCCATTGGACTCTCGATAACTGCTTGCTCAACGATGCTTTCCTCAGAGGACTCGAGTTACTTCTACGCCCTCGCGATGTTGAATTTAATCACAAGGAGAATCATATAAGATGCTTCCCACACGTTACCAACATATGTTCGAATCACGTCATTGATGCATTTACTGATATCAGCCTGGTAGATGATACAGGGGGATTTGTCGCATCCGCATCAGGCCCTCCAAGCGATCCCGATAATCAGAGCTACAAAGAAGCAGTTGCTCGCGACCCAATTGCATTGTGCCGAAGTACTGTACGAGCAGTACGCGCCTCAGGTCAACGACGTGACCACCTGGCAGAAGTAATAGAGGATGGAAACAAGAAAGGGTGGTTCAAGTCAACCGGGGATCCGACCATGACTATACAGGTCAAGCAGGCACAACTTATACGTGATATGAAGGTTCGGTGGGACTCTCTTTATTTCATGATCAATCGGTTTCGTAAACTACGCCCGGTATGTTTGAACTTCATCATTCTATCAGTGTATACTTATAAAAATAGGCCGTTGAGTACTTTCTTTCATTGCCCGTCAATAGAGAGCTTGCGAAACTTAGACTTACTGATATGGAATGGACTGTACTCCAGGATTTTGAGATTGTACTGGGTGTACATCTCTAATATTGATACCTGTTTGAGGCTAAATCTTTTTCTCAGGTACCTCATCAAGTGCAGAAAATCATGTCGAAAGAGCGCACTCCTGTTTTATCAGGTGCAATTCCTGCGTTCAAAATGTTCATGACGGCATGGGAGCAACTTGGGACAGCACACCCCCGCTTGGCCCGATGGACAGATATCGGTATCGACTGGGCGACAACTTACTACAAGAAAATGGATGATTCGCCTGCCTACGTTATTGCGATGTGTGAGTTAAGGTTCAAATTCATAGATCATTCAATAACTTGACATCATCAGTTCTCAATCCCTCAATACGATTGTCATGGATTCAACGACACTGGGAGCCTAATTACGTTGCCAGGGCCACCGTAATTATAAAAAATACCGTAAGTGTCTCAGTTTGTTACGGTGACAGTAACCTAATATACTTGTTCCAGATGCGAAAATACCATGACCGTCTTCATGGACAAGTTCAACAACCTACACCTGGTACAGCAGCCTCGCAGCAAGAGAGGCGAAGCTGGCATGATTTAGCTGGACAATACGGGCTCGAAGATATGATGGACGTTACAGGTGCTTCTTCGCAGCAGGTCCAAGGTGTTGAAGAACAATTTGAGTTGTACGAAAGTGGGCCGCTCTCACCGCGTGGCACAGATATTGTAGGGTTTTGGGTGGTAAGTATAGTCTCTCACTATTTTCTAATTTGCCCCACTGATTTTTTTGTAGATAAGTGATAAAACTCATCCAACATTGTACACGATGGCATTAGATTATTTGCCCATTCAAGCCTCCTCGGTTCCTTCCGAGCGCGTTTTTTCATCCAGTGCCGAAACTGATACAAAGCGGCAAAATTGAATCCACACTGTTCTAATGGAGGCGCTTCAAATGTTAAAGTTTTCGCTCAAGCAGCAACGGCTAAACTTTACGGAGGGATGGGCTGTCACAGAAGACGAACTCGAGTACTACACAGATGACAACGAAGATTCAGTGGATTTGTTAGGGAAGCTAACTTCAGAAATTACGGAGGATGGTATAGATATTGATGAGGTAATTCACGTTATTGGACAGGATGACGAGGATTGATAGCTTGTTCAATATATTTTACTTATCACAAAATGCATTTGTCTCAAATTCTATTACAAATTTAACCTCATTCTACTTAACGCGTGAGTCATCAATTGCGGCAATCATTTACCGGCTATAACCGGTTCAAAGCCACCAACTAAGCCGAGCCGAACCGGACTTGATCAGCTTTCGAGTGATCCACAAACCGGAACCGGCAAAAGCCGCCGGTTCAGCGAGCCGGCTTGCGGCTAGCCGAGCTGCGGCAACACTACTACTGTTCTGTCTCAATACATGGTCAACTTACAACATGACCTAACTTAAGGACACCTCCAAGGATGAATCAGCCCATCATTCTATAGCTCTCAAAGAGCTGATATCAAAGTTTGGGACAGGCCAGTAGCTATCAATGTGAAAGCAGACAGACCAGTAACTATCAATGTGAAAGCAGAGAATAGCCTGTCCTGAAGTGAAAGCCAACTTGGCCATGATGTCAAAAAGTGGTGATGTGGCAATAGCAATATGTAAAGTCATGGTATTCCTTCAGCCATATCCCCACATGAACTTATAATAATTATATTTTGAGATAGGACAGTAGGTGCCATTATGAAGGCATAGGATAGCCTTTCCTAATGTGAAAGACAACTTGTGCATGATGTCAAAAACTAATGCAGCAGCATTGGTAATATGTAAGTAAGATCATGTCAACCCTTCAACCTCACCCCCATAATCTGGACAGAGCCAAGAACACCATAAACTACATGTCAACTACAAACTTTTGTAGTCCCAAAAAGTGGATACTACAAACTTTTCTAATGAATAAGCGCACACTACAAACTTTTGTAGTCTCAAAAAGTGGATACTACAAACCTTTCTAATGAAAAAGTGCACACTACAAGCTTTTGTAGTCTCAACAAGCGGACACTACTAACTTTGTAGTCTAAGTACAAGTTTTTGACTTTTGTGGTCTTTTGTAGTCTATCAGTAAAATTTGTAGTCTAAGTCCGACTTTTGTAGTCTTTTGTGTATCAGTAAACATTGTAGTCTATGTCAGACTGTTGTAGTTATTTGTGGTGTATCAGTAAACTTTGTAGTCTATGTCCAACTTTTGTAGTGTATCAGTAAACTTTGTGGTCTAAGTCTGACTTTTGTAGTCTATCAGTAAACCTTGTAGTCTAAGTCTGGCTATCAGTAAACTTTGTAGTCTATGTCCGACTTTTTGGTAGTCTATGGTAGTCTATATCTGACTATTATAGTTTGTCAGTGTCAATTTCTTTTCTAGGGCATGCACCTTCCTTTTTTGGTCATTTTCCCATGATACAATAATTGTAGCCCTTTCTTTTAGCTTTCCAAATATACTGAAATCAGGTTGTTTGGTTTTGTTTTCATGGATAAAAATGCAAAAAACAAAAAAAAAAAACAAAAAAAAGCAACACTTTTGAATTTTTTTTACCTCATATCTTCACAATGGGAGCACTTTAGAACATAATTCAAACAGATTTGGGTAGCTATAGTGTAGGGCTACAACTTTCATTTTTGACCATTTTTGGTAATTGGTCATGTGACCATCATCCCAACATCCCATTATATGGACCCTGATAGGTAAAAACATTCTCCTCTTGGTTTTCTTCACTTTTGGTCAAACCAGGTGATGTTTCCTCTTTGGGATGGACCCTGAAATGGACCCTGAAGGCAGTGCCTGACATTCTGAGGGGGCAATGATAAATGCAGTAGGGTAGGTATGAAATAGCCCAGGCAGGGATATGAGATTGATATGAAATAGCCCAAGGCAGGGAATGAAATAGATATGAAATTGCCCAGGCAGGGATATGAAATTGCCTCAGGCAAGAAATGAAATGAATATGAGATTGCCCAGGCAAGGATGTGAAATTGCCCAGGCAGGGATATGAGATTGCCCAGGCAGGGATATGAAATTGCCTCAGGCAAGAAATGAAATGAATATGAGATTGCCCAGGCAGGGATATGAAATTGCCCAGGCAGGGATATGAAATTGCCCAGGCAGGGATATGAGACTGCCCAGGCAGGGATATGAAATGAATATGAAGTAGCCCAGGCCAGGATATGAAAAGGCAATGAAATTAGGCTGGGTAGGCAATGAAATTAAAAGTCAGGCAAGAATGAAATAGCAATGAAACAATGCTGGGTAGACAATGAAATGGAAGGACAGGCAGTAATGAAATTGCAATGAAGTAGTATTGAAATATGTCTCAGGACAGTTATGAAATAGTCATGAGAAGCACTGGTAAAGAAATGAAGTACATTTCATAAGTTTTGCCTACTCTTCTCATTTCATAAATTCATTAGGCAGTGTGGATGTCGGTGTGCAGGCACTTGCCTGTATTTTATCATAAAAGTGGTAGCTACTAGTGCTACCCAGTCGGCCAACGAAACTGGACAATTCATGAACTCTGGATCAGCCAACCTTTTACCCCTTTTCAAGATGGATCGGTATCTGTTTTCCCCTTCGCTTTTATTTTAGGCAGCCGAGCACGGTTGCTTGAGCCAGACCCAGTTGTTCCTGCTCAGTTTATATTTCTACCATGTTATCTTTATAGGCAAATTCACTTGTCCAAGACAACATCGGTCAGTAGATTTTACAGCAGCCGATAGTCAGGACTGGGGTTCAAGTCCCAAAGGTGATATCTTCGTTTCTAAATTGATAATTTTTGAACACAATCCGGCCTTTCGAACATACTACCATGAAGCACATTGTGGCTTCGACCTAAGCAGTTGACCCAGCCAAGGTAAAGCACTTTGCCAGAGTTTCTTGAATGTCACCCTCTAACGCTTACCCCTCAGATTAGTTTTATTTCTTCAAGATTGCAGTACTTCTTTTTCTCTTTTACAAAGAACATGACACAAAAAACCTTTATATTGACAAGAAGTTACAAGATAAGAAGAGGCATTACAAAATATGGAGTATGTGATTATTGCGGGTCTTCATTAGTGGGAGTCGAAGGATGATCATCTACTGGGATTTAGATGTTGAATCATTACTATCAAGCAGGGGACATACCAGATGAAGCTATCAGCTGAGGAGACCTCCTGGTGCCAACTGTGAAGGGAGAGGGTGATCTGCCGCGGCATGTTGCACGAACTGGCTTTGGAGCCAAATAGATTGGGGCCGGGCTCTCAGCTTGAACCAGATTTGAAGGAGCTGTGGGTTGAATTGGAGGCGGGCTCGAAGCTTGCACAGCTGCCAATTGAATTGGAGCCGGGCTCGAAGCTTGCGCCGGCGTCGGAGGAGCTGCTGACTGGATTGGGGCCGGGCTCGATGCTTGGACCAATTCCTCTGCTGATTTATCGGTGTTGATGCCAATATCCACAGTACCCTTCATCGTGTTGATGCCGATATCGGCTGTCCCCTTGGTCGCATTGATCTGGGCGTTGGTCATGATTTTGTGGCCGAAATGATTGAGGACAATTTGTTCCACAATCGTTTGTCGGTTACCAAGTTTTATCTGACCCTCGGTAAGTGCGCTATAGGACGTAGTCAGAGTCTCCTGTGCTTGCTCAGCCTGGTGGACTCGGTTTGTAAGTTCGGCCATAGACTTCGCAACTTGTTCTTGCAATGCAGCCGGCGTGACCTTCATCATATTCCTGACCTCCCCCTCAAAAGCTTCGTGCTGAACCCTTATCGTGCACAAGTCCATTTGATGGTCTTGGAGCCTGGCTTCGGCATCCTTCCACCGTGCTTGGTGAAAGTCTTCAAATCAGTAGATCCTCGTGGTGTACGCATTGCTTCTTCTTTCCTCCTCGAACCACAACAATGTTTCCAGAGTTTTGACTTGTTCAGCAAGACGATCGCCAGCGGATTCAACCTCTTGAAGTCTCTGGGTCATTTCCTCCAGGGAGGCCAGACGTTGGCTGAGTGACGTGGAGTTCACGAATGGGGGGAGAAGAGCACTCGGGTCGATGCCAGTATGCTCTGACGCGATGGTCAGCTGAGCCTGTTGTTCGCGGAGAGTGTTTTGAATGTTGGTCTGATCTTGACCGAGTCTCCTGATCTCATGCTGGATCGCATGCATGTCGAATGCCGGTGGCGGAGTGTGGGACCTGAAATCCACCTTCTTGATGTACATTGCTGTATCAACTAAGTTTTTAAGCAAAGAAGTCCAATGAGAACATAAAAGAACTTACGATGAAGTTCTTGAACATGAGGGGGACTGACGCGGCGTGAGTTCGAAACCGACTGCTCAGGCTGGGAAGGGAAGATGTCGACCAAGGCCGGAGTGCTATTGACTAAGATCCCCACCATGTCATTGGCAGGAGCTGGGATCGGGCCAGGCATCAGAGCAGGTTAGTAAGGAAAAAAGAATTTGATAGTGTCTTACCTGACAATTGGCCGAGGTCAGGCACAATGGGCATTGCAGCATTACCTAATGATTGCCCGAGGTCGGGTATGATGGGCATTGCAGCAAAATCTAGCTTAGTTAGAAAAGAAAAACTGATTTGATTGAATCTTACCTGATGATTGCCCGAGGTCGGGCATGATCCCTGTTGCTGATGATTGCCCAAGGTTGGGCATGAGGGAAGCTAGGCTGGTTAGTAAGGAAAAACTGATTTGATAAACTCTTACCTGATGATTGGCCGACATCGGGCACAGTGGGCATTTCATCCATGGCCAGACTCAACTTCGGTTGAACTGGGGGTGTTGGTGTTGGTCGTTCAATGACGATGGCTGGAGTTGCCCGCGCCTTGCCTTTGTCAGGTCAGGAAGAAGTACTGACCTCGGCGTCCACACCCAAGGTCATGTCCACCATCTCTGAATCCTCCTCCTTTATAGACTCAAAATCAAACGACTCTCCCTCAGAAACCTCGGCCATTTCTACATCCTGCTTCATTGCCTTCGTCTTGGGTCTTCGAACGACGACCACACTTTCCTCCTCTCCCCCGTCCTCGGCTCCCTCCGCCATTGGTTCCAACTTCTTAGCCTTCGATTTCTTGGCTTTCTTCTTTCCCTTCTCTCCCCCGTCCTCGGCTTCTTCATCCTTCTTTGCCTTGCGCTTCTTTGTTTTCTTGACCACAATCTTCACTTCCTCTGCCTCCTCTCCCTCAGTCTTCTTCTTCGAATTCCCCCCTGCCTTGCTGCATTTTGTCTTGCCCGTGTTGCAAGTGAAACAGGCGGCGAGCACACCGCTGGTGCTCTCTGCGCATGGGACGGTCTGTTTGTCCTTTCGTTTACTGCAGGCTATGCAGGGCTCAATGGCAAGCTTGTATTCTCCCATTTTAATGGCCGCATTCTGCTTTTCAAGCTTCTCTGCTGATGCCTGGGCCTTTAGTGCCGCCTTTGTAGCTGTGTCTGGGCTAACCCGAGGTGTCGCTTTGGACCTGGGCTTTACTGTTATCTCAACAACCGGCTGTTGTTTCAACCTCGGCTTGGCAGTGTTGCCCGAATTTCGTGAATTGGGCTTCAGCATGGGCGTCTCCTCATCGCTGCTTTCCTCAATGTGTTGTGCGCTGACGATGCGGGTCTTCCTCGGCCGGACATCCAAGGAGTCCCCTCTCCTCTTTCTCCCACTGCTCGTGCCGGCCTCGGGTTTTGCTCGACTTTGTTGAGGTTTGGGCTCGGCTGGCTTCTTTTCTGGTGCTGGGCCGGCTTCTGGAGTTGATTGGCGTTGGGGAGCGTTCGGTATCGGGACAGATGTGTCTGCCGATATTGGGGGCAGGGCTGGGAGCGACGAATTCGGTATCGGGACAGATGACGCTTGTGTGTCTGCCGATATTGGGGGCAGTGAAGATTGGGCTGGGAGCGACGAATTTGCCGATGTAGAAATGGTTGACGTAATGGGAGGAATGGGGGGAGAGGGGCCGTCGTAACCTTCCATGAAGAACATAGGGGTGGTGGTGGGTGGGACTGCATAGAGTCTGTTCCAATCGACCGAGGGCCCCCCCATGACTCGCAACATGTTGGTGTATACCCAGATCCTTGTGGGATGGAGCCACTGGGATTCCTCACACCACAGCTGCTTGCCTGACAAAATCTTCACCAACGTAACCTTGGTGAAACTGAGTGTCATTCAACAAAATATAAGGTAATTACTTACAGCTTTCTCCCAGGCATGTGCTTCCAAGGTCGGTCGGTTCGCGTCATTGGAATTCATAAGAGTCGCTTGATTTCGATTGAAGAACCTCAAAAGTGATTCTGTTTGAAACCGAACATTGTCCAAACACCTGGGGTTGAGATTGTGGGCTTTAGCTTCTATGGTAAGGGTGGAGGACATTGGAGTTGGAACAGCACGAAGGGTTAGAACAAGACAATGATGAAAGTTGATGTCGAAAAGTTGTCAACGGAGTCACGTGGTGGCGTCAGAAGAGTAGAGATCCTCAGAATGTTCCACGGCTGATCATCGGTGGCTTTCATTCCCATGGTTGAATTTTCAAGGGCCTTTGCAAGGCCGAACAAAACAATGGGCCTTTCTCTTAAACAACGTTCATTAGCAACTGCAATCCCTGGAAAAGCCATCTACTCCATGGCTGATATGTCTTTGACAAACCCAGGTAGGAGAATGTCTAATCTTCCAGGCAACCATTGTCACTAATTCTTTTGACGCAGAAGTTGTAATGAAAGACTTGGAGCATAGGAAGGTGCAGGAAGGTAAATAATTCAGTTTGGGCTTTTACTACCGACACCGTTACAACCTTACCTTAGAAATGGCCCAACATCAAAACGTTCTCCCAAGTAAGCAAGTCTTATAACCTGACCAACCTTCAATCATTATCGGGCGAACAGACCTACCGAGCAATGATGGAATGCAGTCCACTGAACAAGCAATGGAAGTCGACGTGGATAGCATTATGCAACGTAAGTCGATGGGCCGAGCTTTACAGATTGATATTAATGTGGTCTTCATTAGAACGTGAAGAGAGTCAATCGATGTCCATTGATTTGACTGTTTCTCACCCGGCCCCAACATTCGACAAATCTATTTTCAATTTTCAAACGTCTGCTGTTTCTGCAAAGGCCAGAGACATTAATTTCGATCGGTCCCTATTTGATTTTACAAAGCCCACGGTGTCTTCCCCCTCCCCCCAGTCCATCTTTGACTTTCAGAAACCTGGAATCTCCTCCCCGAGCTCAGGCATAATGCCCACTTTTGACCAACCCAAACTCTCCTCCCCCATCAATGAAGTTACTTTCGATCGGGCCATCTTCAATTTTGATAAACCCAAAGTGTCTTCCCTGGCCAAAGATGTTGGTTTGGACCAGGCGATGTTTGATTTTACAAAGGCCACTGTTTCGCCACAGTCTATCTTTGATTTTCAGAAACCTGGAATGTCCTCCCTGGCCTCGGGCTCTCATTTTTCCTTTGAATTCCACAAGCCTGATGTCGTGATCTCGGGTTTGTACATTTCCTCTTCACATTCGAAAAGCATTTAGCTCACCCATCATAACAGATGTGGACAAGTTGGTCTTCTCATTTCAACCATCTACCCCTGCATCAAGCAGCCAGAAGCCAGCCAGAGGAAACCCTGGGTCACGTTCAAAGCACAATCGCCATCGTGCCAACCCAAGTTTACAGCCCCCAAACAAGCCCGAGGAAAGACTGGGTCCAATTGAAAGCACGAGGGCCATCGTACCAACTGCCTTTGGTCAGGCCATGGCATATGCTCCATACCTGATCTTCATCCATACACATCGTCGGTTAGGACCCCGCCCACCACGTTCAACCAAATTGGTGGAGTTGGATTCCAACTCCCGACGTGCAAGGGGGATGTATCAAAACTACGATCTCCGTGCCCGGTGGGAAAATTCCGGTGTTGATAAGACCTTTGGCGACATGATAGAGGGATTCACCAAAGTCTGGGAAAGGGTCACTGACCCAGATCCTTCACCTGATCCCGTACTCCAGGACATGCAGGCCAAATTGGATCAGCATGACTCTCAAGAACTTACCCATGATGATGCCATGGACTCTCTTTCAGGCCGTATTCACCAGGAGGCGGTCAGATCCCTGCCTGAAAACATTACAATGACCAGCCATTATCGGTATATTCTAACTCAAATAAGGAGGGATAAAGAAAGGTTGGTTGAACAGATTGAAACTGATCGAGATATTTTAGCAGCATTGGATGCCACCTTACTTTCACTAAAACCGTTTGTAACGAACAAGGGGAAGGCCCGGGACCAGGGTGAATAAGTAGTTTTATGTACCTTTTGCAATTACAAACTCGGGTGAAACTCCAACACAAAACAAATTGACATTATTCTAAAAAGATATAAACTAATGTTTCTTGGATTGGGTGGTTCGAACACTCTCTTCAGCAATTCTCTTTGACCGATCTTGGGTCACAATACCGAGCTCGGTGGAAACCTTGCCTTTGATGGGCCGAGGTTTAGGTTTTGCCTTGACAGGGACAGCCATGGCCAACTTGACTAAATCAATGTTAGTTGATGGGCTGCGACCAGCATGTGGATCGACCTCGGTACATGGTTTGTCAATGGAAATGTCTTGTACGACAGGGGAGCCAGCAGCCTTCTTGATTGTGCCAGGTCGGCCGTTTTTGGGGCCAAGTTTGTAACCGGCCTCCAACCGAGAAGTCTTGTTGGGGAGGGCATCCTCTTCATTATCACTGTATTTTCTTTTCACCCCATGTCCACCCAACGGCTCTGCAAAGTCCATTTCCCAAAAGCTTTCACCTTTAGGTTTCAGGTTATCAATAGTCTTCTTTGTTGGCCGAGCTTCATCGTCTAACCCAGGCTCAGCTACTGTCCCCTTTACATTGAAGTCGTTCTTGGTGGCTGCTTTCTTCTTTGTTGGCTGAACTTCCTGTTTCTCAAGATCCGAGTCTGAGTCCCATTGTTCTTTGGGTTTTGGCCGAACTTCCTCAACTGACTCGGGCTTGGTTCCTTCAAAGTTGGCTGCCTTCGTCGTTGGCCAAGCTTCTTCATCTGACCCAGGCTTGGTTCCTGTCCCCTTGACTGTGGCTGCTTTCTTCTTGATTGGCCGAACTTCCTGCTTCTCGACATCTGAGTCAGAGTCCCATTGATCTTTCTGAGCTGCTTTTTCTGACCCTAGGAACTTCACTGCTTTCGTCCTGTTGGGCCGAGCTTCCTCCTCTTCCACATCAGAGTGCCATTGATCTTCATCTTCCCCTTTTCTTGTGGTCAAGTTTTTGACTGCTTTCTTGGTCGGCTGAACTTCGTGTTTCGGCTGAGCTTCCTTGACTGACCCAGGCTTGGTTCCTCTCAAGTCGGCTGCCTTCTTCTTCGTCGGCCGAACTCCCTGCTTCTCCACATCCACCTTGGGATTTGGCCTTCCTTTTGCCATGCTTGGCCAAGCTTCCTCATCAGAGTCCCATTGATCTTGAGGTTTCTTCCCTTTCGTTCTTGTAGACTGAGGTTCCCCGTCTGACCCGGACTCGGTATGAGAGTCCTCCCAACCACTCTTGGATGCTATTTTCTTTCGAGTCGGCCAAGCTTCCTCATCTGACCCGGACTCGGTCCTTCCCTTCTTCCTTCCCTGCCCAACTGTAGCTTCCTCATCTGACAATGACTCAGTTGCTGCCCGGCCTTTCCTTTGACCCTTGCTTTTGCCGAGCTTCTTTCCCTTCCCAACACTATGAACTTGTCATTTTGAAACTAGAACTTTGATTTTCTGCTGGGGAGGTGCTTACCGAACCGCTTTGCCCTCCAAAAAGGCTTTAAATCGAAAGGCGACTTTGCCTTTTTCTTGATGTTCATACCAAAATTGTAGAGCTTGACTGACCATCTCCATTGGAAATTTGGAGGGATTGATAAACTTGTAAAGGTTATCCCCCTCTGCGGTTACTGCTCTCCAAGCCTCAGGTATGTGTTCCTCATCCACAAAGTTGGACAACTTTGCTCCAATAGCCGTCCATGGAGCTGATCCCTTTTGCGAGGTCTTTATTGTCCTCCACTGATTCCTGCCGGAATCCGGCGGAATCCGGGCAATTCCTGGAATTCCGGAGGAATCAAATTTGGCAGAGGGCCCTGCCAAATTGATCAAACCATTCCGGCGGAATTTTGATGGAATTCAAATTCCGCCAGAATGGTTCCAGGAATCACCCGGAAGGAATGATCCCGGAATGAGACGGAACGGAATTCCTGACGCCCAAATCGAGTGTCGGCGTTTGCCGACGCTTGATTTGGGCGCCATCAACAAACAACTCCCACTCTCTCAACCACCACCATCATCCACGACGCCAACCCACCTCGCGACACCGCCACGTCACCAACGGCCACCACGACGCACACAACGACGACGTCCGTCGTCGTTTCACCACGACCCCAACACAACACCACGGCCACGACACGGAAACGACGCCCCAACGCCACGTCACCAGCCTCAGTAAACGAGCGCGCCAACACGTTGCCACGTCACTATCAGCGACGTGGTAACCAGACGACGAACGACGCAAGTCGTCGTTCGTCGTACGACGCAAGTCGTCGTTCGTCGTCATAGGTGAGCACCCCCCATCCCAAGCTCGTCCCACCCAGCCTGCTAACACCAGGCACACGACGAGGGACAACCACGTCAACGCACGACCACGACCACCACGCCCACAGACGACGACACGCCTCACCACGTCAACGGAGGGCCACGCCAACAAACGACACGCCCACGACGACACCACCACCACGTCAACGGGCGACGACCGCGTCAACGGACGCCCACGTCAACGGACGACGACGACGTCAACAGACGACGAGCACGTTAGTGGACGACGAGCGACCACCGCCACGTCAACGGACCACCGCCACGTCAACAGACGACGACGACGAAGCCAACGGACGACGACAACGCCAACGGACGACAACGCCAACGGCCGACGACGACAACGCCGCCAACAGACGACAACGCCAACGGACGACGTCGACGATGCCAATGGACGGCCACGTCAACGACGACGAGCGTGTCCCGCTCCACCACGTACACACGGCGACAAGTGTTGTCCCTCCCCCTTTTCTTTCCCTGTCCCTACTCCCTTCCTTTTCCCTATCACCCTTCCCCCTTCCCTTCCCTGTCCCTACACCCTTCCCCCTTCCTTTTCCCTGTCCCTACACCCTTCCCCCTACCTTTTCCCTCCCCCTTCCCTGCCCATCCCTTCCTTCCTCCACCCCCATTTATTTCTGCCCCCCTCCTCCCCCCCTTCCTTTAACTTAGAATACAGTAAAATAATCTTTGTGTACCACTTCAATATATTAGAATTTGAATCTATATAACTGTTCTAAGAAGAAACTTGTGAGGTTATTATAGGACAAGATATAATAATAAATTGGCTGACTACATTAGACTTACAATAAATATGATAGGCATGAAGTCACATAGACTTGGGTTTGGATGAACAACATGCAGAATCTAATGTCTCTGAATCTGATTGAAATAAATAAATCCATGTAGTAGTAAGTAACTAGTTGGATGCCTTATGCCCTTGTTTAGTAAAAGATTTAGTGCTACAATTCTATTTGTCTGACCTAAAGAAGGAGATTCAGGGTCCAAAATTAATTAACCAGAAGTCCTAGTGTTCAATTTCTGTTGATTCCAGTTGGATTCCTGTCGATTCCGGCCGGAATCCTGCGGAATTCCAGGAATCCTACCGGAATTCCAGGATTCCAGCCGGAATCTAGGGATTCCGGTAGGAATCAGTGGAGGAATGGAAAGTATTGCCTTTTGCTGCCCAGCTGCAATATCTGAATAGATAGAAAAGTGGGATAATAATAATGGGATATTTGGACATACTTACTATAATGCTGGTTCACAAAAGAATGAAGAAGATTTAGTTGCCAAATTCGAACATCATGGGAAGTTTTAACTGGTGGCTTTGAGGGATCGGGCAGAATGGGCTCCCCATAGTTATTCATCTCCAGAGTCATGGCCGCCTGGCCGCCTTGGTGTCCTCCCTCGACCGAAGTCAACTCATGAGACCCATAGTGGTCCTCATTATGTGCTCTCCAAGAAGCTACTGTTATTCCATCTTCTTGGAAACTCTGGCCTTGGCTATTGATGTAGTCCTTTCCATTGCCCAGTTCTTGATTGAAGTCGTAGGTTGAGACGTCCAAAGTGCCATCGGGGTTCAGGTAACAGCCAAATATAAAGACCCGGACACCCATTGTGTCATAAATCTCCTTGGAAAAGGCATGCATCTGAGCAGTGCAGTTCTTCACGGCCAACCTTACAACAGATTCAGAGAAACCAACATTGACAATCAAATGACTTACTTTGACTTGAGTTCGGGGTCCACCCCCTTCTTGTTGAACTCCTCGGCCGTCCTCTCTAACCTTTTTACCTCTTTCTTTGTAAGTTTCTCCATCATTGTAGTGACCACCCGCTCCCGAAAATCAAAATGAGTCCTTTCTCCCCCCTTAGGCCGGGTGTTGCCAGCTTGGTTGGCTTCTACACAGAGCTTGGTAGCCTCAGTATCAATGGCTTCCTTATTCTCATGCCAGAACACACGTCGGGCATGCCACTGCTGACCCAACTTCGGCATTTTTTGGCTTCTTTTGCGACTGTGCCACCCAAACCAAGCCTTGATATCCTAAAAATCATTCAGAAGGACATTCATATCTAGGACCATGAAAATTAGTTACCTTCTTAACAGCCGTTCTCTCCTCCTTGTTGAACATCTTTCCATTGGGGAGTATGTCCAGCATTTTTTGCAAAACATCAGACAATAAGTTGGCACGAGCTGAGTCACCGGCCTCTCTGTACTCATCCCGATGTTTCTCCAACAACTCGCTTTCTTCCTTTGTCCAACACCTCCCTGACCCATGGTGCTTGGTTTGACTGTCGGATGGTTTAGGGGATTCGGAACGAGTGCTCATAATGGGATGTATAATGATGGTTTGATGAGAAGAGGTAAATGACCAAAGAGGTCTAAACAAACAGTGTTACTTGGAAATACTAAAAATATCTGTGATGAGCGCCAATCACAGATTAGCATCAGCCAGATAACCTTGGATCAGCAGAGACCATCACGGAACGGAAACGTTAAGGTTGTTGTATCATGGAACAGTAATGATTGGGAGAAACCATCACAGAACGGAAACATCAAAAAGGTTGTGACCCTGACGATCATCATCGGAACAACTTCTGTATGCCTCGAGGAATAATGAGGTAGGAAATATTAAACTACACCTTGAAACTACCTTGAAACCAGAGTACAGTTAGGTTAGCTAGCACATGTAGGTTAATTGGCAACCATTTTTGCAGAAGATAAAGAAAATTGACCAGACTTAACATTCTGTTTGAAAAGTGAACATTTTCCAAGAAAAAAGAAAAAGGACTGGAGACAGTGAAGATGGTTCATTCATTGTCTCAAAGAAGCAAGATGCACATTGTGCTTCCGATGTACAGGCAAATATTGTTTATTGCGACTTATTTTAGTGGTTTGACCGGAAATCAATGGTGTGCACATGCGGAAATCAATGGTGTGCACATGCGGAAATCAATTGTGCGCACATGCATGGCTTTACTGGTTCTAGTAGCCAGATGTAGTATGAACATGGGTCCACTGCTTGTATACCATGTCAATCAGAAAATCCCTGGTGGCGGTCTAATGAGGTCCATTAAGTATGCTAGCATTGCGGCCAGGTTGATAGCCAAGTGGGTAGTCTGACCGGAATCAAATTCATGCATATGCATCTACTGGTTCTAGTATTAGTACAAAAACGAATCTACTGGTTGTATATATCCTAATGAACCCTCAAGCACAAATTATGTCCTAATTCTTTTATAAACTCCACAGAAGCTGAACAAGCAGGAAATGAGATTCACTTGTTGCAGTTGCTATTCAACGGCTACACTTTCCTTTTCCTTTCCCCCTCATTTAAATAATCACCCATGGGAAGAAGGTCCCACAGCACCACTGGTATTACCCACTTCAACAGGCTTGTTATAAAAAATGGAAGGAGGCATTTTCCCTCCTCCACTGTTCCCTCCCTGCCCTCTTCTCCTGTAAAAAAGCGGAACTGCAGCCACCTGGAAAGAGACAATGAAACTGGAAATGAAGATTTGCCATACATTGAATATGCTCCTCCTCTCGACAATCCACCTCACAGAAACGTAAAATTTCACATCCAATATATCCATATACTAAGAGCTAATTAACTTTGTTCAGTCATCCAATGATTATATGAGGGACTGGAAAAAGACGAAACACAATCTATACCTCCATGAGCTTTTGGAGAGGAAGCCTTCAATCTGTGTTTGTACCATTTGCAAGAAGGAGGCGACTTGGCAATGTCTGGATTGCTTTGCCGGCCTCGCTTATTGTACAGACTGCTGCCGGACATCCCACTGCTGAGACCCATTCCACCGGATTGAACAATGGACCGGCATCTTTTACGAACAGAGCTGGCTCTGGAAAGTAGGATTGGTTATCAACCTAGGTCACCAAGGTGAACGGTGCCCGCAATCGGCCAGAAACTTGGATGCCGATATTGACATCAAAGAGGATGGATGGTTTGATCTTGACGACCTTCCTAGCACTTTGGCCGATCCAAAGCCACCAGATAGGGTTTACAATGGTGGTAGGGTCATGACCATCATCCATACTTCGGGTGTGCATCACCTCCCAGTCGTCTTCTGTGGATGTTCGGGGGCAGCAGCCGAGGACATACAGTTGTTCCACATTGGGTTGTACCCATCCACCTACAAGTCTTGCCAGACTGTATTTACCTTTCAACTCCTCGATGACTACCTGCTGGAAAATCTTGAGTGCAAAACCTCAGCCACCCACTACTACTCCAAATTGAGAAGAATCACCAACTTTGCATTTCCGAATTCCATTCCGGTATGTTGTTCAAGTGAGGAGCTATAATCCCAGCTGAAATATTTCACAGAACCAGTATCACGAGTTGATCAGGGTTGGTAGACAATACCGTAATCTTACCGAACTGGCTACTTTTAAATTTGGACACAAAGGTAAGGCTCCAAGACCAGGGGAGATGGTCTTTTTTTGCCCGACCTGCCCACAGCCCGGAGTCAATCTGCCTGATGATTGGAATGAAAATCCCCAAGATCCAGAGAATTGGAAGTATACCCGAGGATTTGTAGCCGATGGCAATTTCACAGCAGCACACCAGAAACAGGCACGACCCGAGGACGATGTTTGGCTGAAAGATGGCCATGGTTTCATGACCCGAAGAGGTCCCTACTTGAGCCACCTTCGGGACGCCATTGAAGATAATGATGTCAGTTTTATCCTTCGAGCAACTCGGCCGATAGCTGATTCTTTCAGCCAAGGACATGTTATGAGCACGATGCCGTCAACAATAAAAATGTATTCCACCGAGGTTTCAATGCTACAGGAATTGGGGCCATTGCTTGCCTTCGACACGGCACATTTTGTCCGGGCTCGGTGGTAGATTTTCAAAAGGGAGAAAGGTATGGCAGTTATCTTCTCGTTGAACAATTCATTTACCGAACAGGCAAATGAACATGGACTATGCCTTGTGCCAGGCTCTGAAGAATACCATGACTGGTGAAGAAAAAAGGGTTATTTTTGTCTATGACATCAAGTGCCAGTATATGGTGAATTTGATGGCTCGGATAAAACGTGGTGCCAAACACCTCTGGATCAGACCGGACTTGTTATTGGTATTCGGGATCGGCTTATTCCATGTCCATGGCCATCAAGAAATATGCTTTCCACAATTTGCCCCAACATTCATCCCCGGGGCTGGTCAAACAGATGGAGAGATATTGGAGACTTTGTGGGCTGTTCTCAACGAGGTCAGTCGCACCACCCGGACAATGACTTTGGCCCATAGATCAGAGGTATTGGATGCTCACATGCTAGATAACAACTGGAAAAAAATGATCAATATGGGTATCTATGTTCAACTGCTTTTACATTGCTGTTAAGCTAATAAGAGTCAAGTGAGTAGCCTTTGCAAGAAGTGGAAGTGCGCAAAACTCGGGCTCTCTGAGAGCTTCCAGGCTCTTGAAGAATTAAGTGCCTCGGCAAGTAAGGAACAGATTCAAGAATGGGAGCAACAGATCAAAACCGCAAATTTGAACTGGGCAAAGGACCTTTCCTCCATGGACATCTATTACGTCAAGGTCAAGGAAGGTAAGAACCAAGTTTTCCCTCACAAAGGCCAGCTGTAAATCATTGAATCAGCCGAGACCGAAAAGGGCATTCGGCTAAAACTTATGACTAAAGAACAGGAAGGCAAGGTCAAGTCGGGGTTAACCAGATGGGTAAACAGCGGTATCAAAATTCAGGAAGCCCAGTGAGTGAAGTCAAATATTGCTAGATTTAAACATTGAACAATCCAGAGCCGAATTGGCCGCCTTTGTGAAGGCTCAAGGCAGTCATCCAGGTGCCGATCAGAAGCTGGAGATGATGAAACATCGAGAGAAGCTTTCCAAGCGACTTGAAGAGTTCTCCGAGGCCGGTCAAGGCCATTTTCCCAACTTGGAAATTAACGAAGCAACTATTCATGATCCACCACTCTCAGAGGAGATCATGGATGACGATGACTGGAGCGATTGTGATGGAGAGGAGATGCCGGTACCCATACCCAGTTTGCCTGATCGGGGGCATGGATCGGCCGAACATCAACAAATCCTCTTACCATCCTCATTCCAATCGGCCCTTCTGCCTACATCACTGGGAGAAGCCCAGTGCGTAGAGATAGAATTGAGAGTGGCTCAGGCAAATAACGCTCTCAAACGTTTACGGGAAGCCATCAGTTACAAGTCATTCCTTTACCGCAGGAGAGTTCGATCAGAGAAATCGAAAAAACATGTAACTCGGGCTTACAATGCTGTACAAGGATCAGATCGCGATATGAAAAGTGCTCTCCAGGCATACAACCAAGCTCGATGGGCTCTCAATCAGCTCAATGCTCCTCAGGGCACGCATGACCGATACAAGCCGATAGGGAAAAAAGATACAAGGGCACTAACTACGGTATATGATGGCAACACCCAGTGTAACGGGTACGATTACAGGATGACCTCTTCACCTCCTTAGTACGAATATTCTCGATTCAACGCTTACGGTCACTAGTCACAGAGTCACGATTGCTTATGATACCTTTAGTCACGTTTGTACTTTTTCATCTTTTTATCCATCATTCTTGTTACCGCTTGTAGTTCTCGAGTATCGTCCTCACGACTCGATCACATGCATAACAGGGATATTGTAATAAGGTGAGTAGCATAGTGACTTACAGAGGAGAGCTCGTGACTCTCCTGTAGCTGATTCTATATTTCCTTTCGTCTTCGGCAGAAGATCTTACTACATCTTCTTGCGGCATTCCGAGGAAGAAGAGTACGTCTACGCTCGTGGCTTACCAGAGCATCAGTAGCTACTCGCGTAGTAAGGTTGACTCCTAAGACTCAGATTAGACCTTCAACGGAGGTCTTCACACCATAGTGGTAACCTTTGCCATAGAAGCTCACCAGTTTCACCTTGTCGTTGCCGCTCGAACCCCGTAAATCTACGTGGTCCTCCGAACAGGCACAAGTGGCTACCACCTTTATCATAAAACTAAGGCACTTGCCTGTAGAGCTGTGTGTATAAGTCCACAAGTTTTATGAAAGGGCTTTCATAGGTGTGTCCTGTGTCTTTCTTTTTCATAAAGGCTATGTTCTTTTCATAAAATGTAGGCAAAGACCACAGGACCCTTTCATAACATTTCTTAGGAGCTTTCATAAAAGCTCTCATAATTATTATCATGCACTTTCTATGAATTTTTCATTGAAGCTGTTCAGTTCTTTCATTGTACTTTTCATAATTAAACCTGTGTGCTTTCAATGGGTATTTCATTCACTGGGTTAGGTGTATTGATTGCCTTTTTCATAATTAATGGTGTGCACTTTCATTGAATATTTCATTAGGAATTTTGGGCGCTTTCATTGCTTTTTTCATAATCAATCCTGTGTGATTTCAATAAATATTTCATTGACTATGTTAGGTGTATTCATTGCCTCTTTCATATTTAATGCTGTGTGCTTTCATTGAATATTTCATTAGGAATATTGCATGCTTTCATTGTACTTTTCATAACTAATGTTGTGCAATTTCAATAAATATTTCATTCTCTAGGTCAGGTGTATTCATTGCCTCTTTCATATTTAATGCTGTGCACTTTCATTGTACTTTTCATAACTAATGTTGTGCAATTTCAATAAATATCTCATTCACTGGGTTAGGTGTATTCATTGCCTCTTTCATAATTTTTGGTGTGCGCTTTCATTGAATATTTCATTAGGAATACTAGATGCTTTCATTGTACTTTTCATAATTAATGTTGTGCAATTTCAATAAATATCTCATTCCCTAGGTCAGGTGTATTCATTGCCTCTTTCATATTTATGCTGTGCGCTTTCATTGAATATTTCATTAGGAATATTGCATGCTTTCATTGTACTTTTCATAATTAATGATGTGCAATTTCATTGCATATTCCACAGCTTTCATTGGGATTTTTCATTGAGTATCTCAATATTTCATTCCAATTTCATATCTACCTCCAGGGCTATCATTACGATTTTTCATTATATTCCATGATCACAATAAAATAGCTATTACAGTCCATCCAATGGGTCATTGGGAGGGTGGTCACATGACCAATTTCTAAAAATGGTTAAAAAAAAACAAAAGTTGTAGCTCTTTACCATAGCTTCCTGAATCAGTTGGAATTATGTCCTAAAGTGCTTCCATTGTGGAGATATGAGGTAAAAGGTTTTCAAAAGTGCTGCGTTTTTTTTTGTTTTTTGCATTTTTCTACATGAAAAGAGCACTAAACAACATGATTTCAATAGATTTAGAAAGCTAAGAGAAGGGACTACAACTATTGTATCGTGGGAAATTTCTCCCAAAAAGGAAGGTACATGCCCTAAAAGGGTAATTGACACTGACAGACTACAAAAGATTGCTGATATACTACAAAAGTAAGTTATAGCCTACAAAGTTTACTAATAGACTACAAAAATTAGTAGTGTCTGCTTTTTCAGACTACAATGGTTTGTAGTGTCCACTTTTTTCATTACAAAAGTTAATAGTGTCCGCTTTTTCAGACTACAATGGTTTGTAGTGTCCGCTTTTTGAGACTACAAAAGTTAGTAGTGTCTGCTTTTTCAGACTACAATGGTTTGTAGTGTCCGCTTTTTTCATTACAAAAGTTAATAGTGTCCGCTTTTTGAGACTACAAAAGTTAGTAGTGTCTGCTTTTTCAGACTACAATGGTTTGTAGTGTCTGCTTTTTTCATTACAAAAGTTAATAGTGTCCGCATTTTCAGACTACAATGGTTTGTAGTGTCCGCTTTTTTCATTACAAAAGTTAATAGTGTCCGCTTTTTGAGACTACAAAAGTTAGTAGTGTCTGACTACAATGGTTTGTAGTGTCCGCTTTTTTCAGTACAAAAGTTAATAGTGTCTGACTACAATGGTTTGTAGTGTCTGCTCTTTTCATTACAAAAGGTAATAGTGTCCGCTTTTTGAGACTACAAAAGTTAGGTCATTGGGAATATGGTTGAAGGATTGGGATGAGTTGACATTCTTCCACTTATGAATAGTTGCTTTTGATGTCAGGTCCATGGCTGTTTTCCATACTTGCAATCTGTCCTGTCTTTTCACATGGGAAGCCACTATCCCATGTTTGATGTTGGTCAACCTTCCACTCAGATCAGTATCTGTGTCCTATGTCTGACCACAGTCAATCTTCACATGATTTTTTTGGAGGGATAAATTCTCTGTCCTACCAATGCAACTTGTCATGTCTTTCAATAGCAAGACCAGTTGTCATTGTCCAAGCCTTCACCACTGGGGTCAGCCTTGAGTAGATTGATTTAAAGGTACCAAAAGTGAATTAAATAGGTGGTTTCGTCCTGTCTGTTTTCCAATGTCTATCCAGGATTCATGTGAAGCACACCCTTTGATTAGATAGGATAGTGACTTCTCATGTGAAAAGACAGGACAGATTGCAAGTATGGAAAACAGCCATGGACCTGACATCAAAAGCAACTATTCATAAGTGGAAGAATGTCAACTCATCCCAATCCTTCAACCATATTCCCAATGACCTAACTTTTGTAGTCTCAAAAAGCGGACACTATTAACTTTTGTAATGAAAAGAGCAGACACTACAAACCATTGTAGTTAGACACTATTAACTTTTGTACTGAAAAAAGCGGACACTACAAACCATTGTAGTCTGAAAATGCGGACACTGTTAACTTTTGTAATGAAAAAAGCAGACACTACAAACCATTGTAGTCTGAAAAAGCAGACACTACTAACTTTTGTAGTCTCAAAAAGCGGACACTATTAACTTTTGTAATGAAAAAAGCGGACACTACAAACCATTGTAGTCTGAAAAAGCAGACACTACTAACTTTTGTAGTCTCAAAAAGCGGACACTACAAACCATTGTAGTCTGAAAAAGCGGACACTATTAACTTTTGTAATGAAAAAAGTGGACACTACAAACCATTGTAGTCTGAAAAAGCAGACACTACTAACTTTTGTAGTCTCAAAAAGCGGACACTACAAACCATTGTAGTCTGAAAAAGCGGACACTATTAACTTTTGTAATGAAAAAAGTGGACACTACAAACCATTGTAGTCTGAAAAAGCAGACACTACTAACTTTTGTAGTCTCAAAAAGCGGACACTACAAACCATTGTAGTCTGAAAAAGCGGACACTATTAACTTTTGTAATGAAAAAAGTGGACACTACAAACCATTGTAGTCTGAAAAAGCAGACACTACTAATTTTTGTAGTCTATTAGTAAACTTTGTAGGCTATAACTTACTTTTGTAGTATATCAGCAATCTTTTGTAGTCTGTCAGTGTCAATTACCCTTTTAGGGCATGTACCTTCCTTTTTGGGAGAAATTTCCCACGATACAATAGTTGTAGTCCCTTCTCTTAGCTTTCTAAATCTATTGAAATCATGTTGTTTAGTGCTCTTTTCATGTAGAAAAATGCAAAAAACAAAAAAAAACGCAGCACTTTTGAAAACCTTTTACCTCATATCTCCACAATGGAAGCACTTTAGGACATAATTCCAACTGATTCAGGAAGCTATGGTAAAGAGCTACAACTTTTGTTTTTTTTTAACCATTTTTAGAAATTGGTCATGTGACCACCCTCCCAATGACCCATTGGATGGACTGTAATAGCTATTTTATTGTGATCATGGAATATAACAGTACTTTACAGTGCCCCACCCATTCCTGCAGGAATCCACAGGAATCCGCAGGAATCCGGAGGAATGGCACTGGAATCCAGAGGAATCCGCAGGAATGGCACCGGAATCCGCAGGAATCCACAGGAATGGCACCAGAATCCACAGGAATGGCATTGGAATCCACAGGAATGGCACTGGAATCTGCAGAAATCTACAGGAATGGGACCAGAATACAATAATACAACACCTTTCCTTTTTGCTATATACATTTACACTAATATGCACTTCTTCACACTGACTTAAAGGGTATAAACACTTTCTTATAACATTTATATATTAAAATTTATATATTTAAACTCAAATCTACATCTAATTTACTATTTTCTAAGTTAAATTAAGGGGCAGGAAGGGAGGGAGGAAGGGAAGAAGGGAAAGAGGAAGGAAGGGAGGGAGGAAGGAAGGGGGAAGGAGGAAGGGAGGAAGGAAGGAAGGGGGGAGGAAGGAAGGAAGGGGGGAGGAAGGGGGGAGGAAGGAAGGAAGGGGGGAGGAAGGAAGGAAGGGGGGAGGAGGGGAGGGACAGAGAGTGGTGTGGGGGTGTGATCAGCAGAGGAAAGGAAGGAAGGGAGGAGGGACAGGCAATGTGTGGGGCAGGCTCTGGGGAGGGGATGGAGGGGGAGAGAGTGGTGGGGACTAATGAAGGGGAAGGGGGTACTCCTGGGCCTCGTCGTCCATCGTCGTCGTCATCCTGGGTCGTCGCGTGGTCATCGTCGTGCTGTTGTCATCGTGTTGTCGTCGTCGTGGGGTTGTCATCGTGTTTTCGTCATCGCGTGGTTGTCGACACGTTGTCGTCGTCGCGTTGTCGTCGTCGTGTTGTCGTCGTCGCGTTGTCGTCGGCTTGTGATGTGGCGTCGTCGTCGTGGGCGCTCGTGGATGGTGGTGGGTTTGTCGCGTTGTCGTCGTCCTGTGACATGGCGTTGCGGCGTTTGCGTGGTTGTCGTGGTGGGCGCTCGTGGATGGTGGTGGGTGCTCGTGGATGGTGGTGTCGTCGTCGTCGTCCGTTTTCGTGGATGGTGGTGTTGTCGTTGTCCGTTTGGCTGCCACGTCACCGACGGTGGTCGTTGCCGTTCGTTGCTGGGTGGTCGTTGCCGTTGTGGAGTCGTCGTCGTCGTCGTCGTCGTCGTGGGTCGGCGTGCCGTTGTCGGTTTATCGTGGCTGTCGTGGGGGTGGGAAAGAGGATGGTTGGTGGTGGGGGAGGCAGGGTACTGGTGTTTGTAGTTGCTACAGAAGAAAATAAAATAAAATAAAATAAAAAGAGGGAAAAAGCGAAAAAAAGAGGAATATTTCTTATCTTATCTTATCTTACAATCATGAGCTATAAACTACTGACCCATCTTTCCATCTCCACCTACAACTGGCCTACCAACCTTATTCTGACAGGGCCTTTGGATACCTGCTATCCCCCCCATCACAGTCTACTCTGTTGGGGATTTTCCAGTAAATTTTATCTGCCCTACTGCCCTCAAATTCTGGCCTAGAGCATCATTTCCTGCTCTGATTCTCTTTCAAGGTAATTAGGGAGCTGAAATTTCTAGGACATCTTGTGCAGGCCTTTTATTAGCTAATTAAACTGTATTTTGTAATGGGCTAGCAGTGATATTGTGTGGGCTGAATTAATCCTCTCCTGTGATGGTTCAGGAAAATGACTATCCACATCCAAATGATAAAGCCCTGGATTACTTTAAAAAATTTGGGTGGGAGCAATTGATCCTTTGCTTGATGGGCTGTATGTGAAGCACCTCCATTTTGATGTTCACAGGCCATACTACAGAATATATTTTGTAGAAGATATCATTTTCATTTCCCTTTGCATGATTACAATTCTGTACAATTACAGCTTTTTTTTGCAGTCAGGATCTCCTGATTAATGCTAGATACTCACACATAAGCTTTAAAAACAACTGTTTCTCTGCAACAGTAGGATGGACATAACAGCAAGGGGGTGGCGGAACATGGATTTTGGATATACAGTCACATTACGAATTAAGGCGCCCTCAGCCTACCCCCCCCCCACCTCCTACCCCCCAAAAAAGGAAACTTCCGAGTTCCTATGTCAAAAACATACCCAAATAAGTAGTATGTTACATTTTTGGATCTGTTACTACGTGCGACGACACTTCATCCCCATATCCATACAGGTCGGACACATTTCGTGGCTCTCGAATCCGTTTGTCGAGCTGGACA